GTGCCCATTTTGGACCAATGTGATATGGGTGCATTAAAAAATTGCAATGTTTTAAAATGCTGAGGCGTGGCGCGAGGTGTTTCACTACCTAAAGGCATGAGGCATAGTTCAGAATGTAAGAGGCATAAGCCTCCCGAACACAAGGAGGCGTAAACCTCCTTAAGAGGAGGGGGGTGAGGAGGAAGGGGGATCTCATTTTTCTTTATTTTTAATAAAAATATTTAAATGCATAGCACTAGTTGAAAGGGGGGGTCTCATGAAAAAAGCGTATGGGGCGTATGCCTCTTGCACCTAAGGGTATGCCTCAGAGGTGTCAGTGCCTCTGGCATACACCTCAGGGTGTTTTGGGAGCGCCTCACCTAGAGGTGTGCCTCCAGGCGTACTCCTCTCATGCCTTTTAAAAAAATGAAAGATTGTAATCATATCATAAATGGGGGGGGGGGATGGGGGGTAGAGGTGCAAATGGACCGGATCATGATCCGTTCCAATCTGAAATCCGATCCTATTTGGTCAAATTTGGATCACTCATCACTCCTGCTCAAATCTTCAGATCGGATTCAAATCACCCCTATCCAATTCGATATATTATGTATTTATAAATATAAATATATATAATACATATATATGTTATTTATTTATTTATAGATATATTTTTATAAATTTGCTATATTATTTATTTTATAAAAAGCATGTATATATATGATGAAAATAATTAAAAAATACTTGTATTTTTTGTTGCTTTATTTAAATTAGTATATTTTATTTTTCTTTTAATAATTTATTAGTTAGAAAAAAACAAGTTGGATTGGGTCAGATCCGAAGATCCGACTTACCAATAGGATTCGAATTCAAATAGTCCTATCAGATCCGATCTGATCAGATCTGACATGAACAGTCGGATTGGGTTCGGATATACCCTGATTCGAATATGATCCAATCCGTTTGCATTCCTAATGGGGGGTGAATTGAATCATATTTTGAATTGTATTGCTAATCATAAGATTTTTTTTTCTGATTTTCAGAAGTTAAAAATGTTAGGAAAAATACTATAAATCTCAAAAATAAGAAAAATGACTTTGCACTGTACCAACTTTCATCCTATAGTATAGACATCATATATGTGGGTTTTGATGGTGATTATACTAGTATTATATTAAGGAATATTCATTAAATAGTATGATCACGTTCAACTTAAATTATTTTGTTGTAACCAATAAAAACTATAATTGCTAAATTGTTGAATGCTATACAGATTATAGAGTTATAGACAACCAAGATAATGTGTATACAAGAACTGAGTAATTCAAAATACACATTAGTACAGTACAAGCCACAATTATGCACAACTAAAAAAATTAAATTCTTAGATCTTGCATACTTCTCAACTGTTCAAATTTAAATATTGAAATTCATTATGCATATTTTGCATACATTTCATGACAAAGGTGAAGAAATGGATAGAGCCCATGTTTTCATGAAGGGATGGGGTGAACTGGTTAACTACAATATTCATGAAGAGAAGAAATGGTTAGAGCCCTTGGTTGCCACTCCTTCGGTGGCTAGGAAATTCATTGATTCCCCAGTTGCTCAAAGGCAGATAGGCCTCCGATTGGAGAGGTAGGTCCTGTTCCTGGGTAAGTAGAGGCAGTAAATGAAGCCTGACCTAGTGATGTCCAGTCTGTCAAGCACTGGGTGGAACTTAGGATCGACCTTGGGAAGCTCCTTGGTGTTACTTTCCTAGATGGCAAAGACAGTGGGTAAGAGATGTTCTTGACTAGGCTCCTACTCTCCTAGAGCAAGATACTCTGGCTCAAGCAAGGAAGAATCATTTGATGCAAGAGGAAGATTGAAACTTCATTAAGTAGTGAAATGTCTGATTGGTCGCTTGGCAGTCTTGATTGTATTCCAGACTGCAGGAAAGAAAAGTTGTTGCTGGAACTCTATGATGATGTGGTGGTGAAATCCCCAAGTAGAGGTTCTTGCAGCACCTGGGAGAGTAGTGGTGGAAGAAGGAGAAAAGCAGGTGTGTCCGTTGTTTTGTGGCCCAGATTAATCATTCGTGTTAACCCGGGCTTTATGGGAGGTTTTCTGTGGTTATTGGTTGTCTATATTTGTATGGTTTCAATGCTGCAAGGCAAGGTTAGGCAACAGGGAGGATGCCTTGTTGTTGTTGTTGCCTAGTCACATAGGCAGGCACCTAGGTGTCGCCTAGGTGATGAACTTTTTTAAATAAAATTATATATCCTAGGGTAGTTCCCTAGGTTCCTTAGCAACTAGCAATCATATTTCCTTAACAGTGATCCATAATTTTCATAAGAAAAGTTTAAACTTCGTGTTGAAGTAAAGAAAATCAACATATTCATGAGAAGAAAAAGAAGAAAGAAAAGAAAATTCAGAAAAATAAAGGGGCTGAACGCCTATTTTTGTTATAGGAAAAGAAGAAAAGAAAAGAAAAGGTGTTTAGACAAAATTTTAAGTTCTTCCTTATTGGTTCAGATTTTGAAGTCTTTGAGGGTTCAAGATAGCATTTAGCAATGTGTTTGTTTTGATTAAAACCTAACAAATAAGAAAATAATAAAAATAAAACTAGGAAAAGAAGAAATGTTGATTAGACAACATTTTAAGTTCTTCCTTATTGATTCAAGTTTTGAAGTCTTTGAGGGTTCAAGACAGCATTTAGCAACGTGTGTGTTGACTGAACGCTGACAAATAAGACAATAATAAAAGAAACTAGTATATAAACACACTCTAGCCTTGGAACAGATCACCCCTTAATACCCCTTATTTACCTCCCCATGGAACTGAGCATTGAGCAAATAAGAACACTCTAGCCTGAATTACAATTATAAGGTAGGCAAAAACAGATCAACCCTTGATACCCCTTATTTAGTCAAAGAATCAGCCATGGCATTTGCTGATCTGCTGACCCATTGAAAGCTAACTGACATATTCGTTGTCAACCAAATAACTTTCTGCAGAAGATCCCTATAACCCCAAAAAACTGTTTCTGAATTTGACAGCCAGCCTACTACCACCTTGGGTTCCTCTTCAACTATCAAGTTCTCCACTACAAGTTGATGAGCAACCTGCATACCTTGTACCACTGCTAGTATCTCAGCCCTTGTAGAGTCACCAACTAAAACTGGTCCTGAGAATAAATATAGGATCTTGCTATCCTTCTCTCAGAATCCCTTTTATACCTGAAGGCATTGGATTACCTTGACTTCTTCCGTCAAAATTCAGTTTTACCACTCCTTCTGGAGGGGGTTTCCATTCCACTTGTAGTTTGTTCTTTGTGGAGGTTGTGGATGCCACTGCGCCCAATTTCTCCTTAAATCATCATAAGAATAATTCATGAACAGATCTGTAGTTTTCAGCCAAAAAGTTGTGCTTGTCATTATACACTCCTTTACTTCAGCAAGGCTTATTTCCTTTTCTTGAAATGTTCTTGCATTCCTCTCTTCCCAAATTGTCCACAAGCTAGCTGCTCTGATACACTTCCACATTAAACTCCTTCTCTTTGTCAATCACCCAAAGGCAGACGGTTCAAAGAGTGAATTTTCTTTGGAGGGCAAGCTCCACCTGCACCCAAATAACATTAAAACCCAATTCCAAATACTGGCAGCAAAAGAGCAAGATATCAGCACATGGTGACAGTTCTCACTCTTCACTTTACACAAAATGCACCAGTTTGGGGACAAACACATATAAGGTCTCTTCTTTTGCATGTTTTCCAAAGTATTAATCTTACCACAATAGGCTTTCCAACAGAAAACAACTATTTTAGAAGGAATTGGCCTTGACCAGATTTCTTTAACAGGGAAAACATGAGAGGAGAGGGTGGAAAAGAGGGATTTAAAGAAAGAGACACAAGTGGAGGAGCCACTTAAGTTTAGAGTCCAAATCCTTTTATCAGGTTTAGGGGGTCCAAACACAGAGTCGAGAAGAAACAAAAGCTCAGAAACACAAGCAGATTCATCATCCCTTAAACATCTATGAACCCCAAAGTCCCAGTTTAAAGCCAATGGGGGAACCAGGGGGTGGGGTGGGTAGGGGGAGAGGAACCTTGAGATAGGTTTCTTTTTAACGAAGGAGATAGAATAGAGCGAAGGGAACTTTTAGGGGTTGAGTGCCCACCCAAACATCTTCTCAAAAGAGGACTGAATTACCAGAGCAAACATCATACCTTACAAACACAAGGAATTTAGGGAGAGTGCGAGAAATTGCCTTCCAAGGTGTTAAAAACTATATTGATTGTTAAAAACTCTAGATACACAATTTTTTGTGTATTTAGATTTCAGAGAATTGATACTTTGAGCCATGATACAAGGCCATTACCCATTGTTGGTCCTAACTGTCTGGGGTCTTGGGAGGGGTGGATTGATTATGGTCCTAACCTTTGGCATTCTTTTTGCACGTAGGGCCAACATCAGACTTGAACATGCATTCTCATGCTTGCCACTCTGAGATTTTACCATTACACCAAGTAATGGCCCCTAAACAAAGAAGTAATATACATGATATATTATAGGATGTATTAACACAAATAATAATAAGGTTTATCCATAGAAATAGTACTATAATAAGGCACTCACCATGTATTTTTGTCACCTGAGCTGGCATATAAGCTATGGTGTTCAGGCAGGATGCCCAGCTAAGGGTGCCTAGTTGCCTTAGTGACACCTTGACAATTATGTTTGCCTTCCTGAATCCTTTTTACCATATGGTGATGTTGGCGCATATCATTAGGTACATGTATCCCTAGAATGAAATGGAGGATTATTCATTTGATATCATTTTTCCAACTATTTCATTTGATAAAGGCACATGGTGATGATGATCATTCATCTTTTCGATGTAGATATCATTAGATCCTGTTCTAATGTATTTAATTGTTAAAAACTATTGTGGTAACATTTATTTCTTTTTGTTTTGTTTTTTAGATGGTTTTTTGGGTTCATAACATATATCAATTTCATGGGTTTTTTATCCTTATTTAGAGAAGAGGAAGAGCTGGCCGTGTTCAACCTGGCGAATGTTACCATCTCTACCCAAGATGTCTATATGATGCTTTTGCAGATTATCAGCTGCCAGAAATTTTAAGGACACCCTTACAATCTCTCAGTTTGCAAATTAAAAGTCTAAAGCTGGGAAGCATTTCAGAGTTCTTATCTAGGGCATTACAGTCACCTGAACCATTATCAGTAAAGCTCTCTCTCTCTCTCTCTCTCTCTCTCCCCCCCCCGTGTGTGTGTGTGTGTGTGTGAACATATTGACCAGAATTGGATGACATAACTTAATGATCTTTCTTTTCCTTATTATTTTTCCTCAACCATTGGCATAATATATCCATCTAATTTTCAATTTATATATTTCTGGTTGCTTGTTCCTTGTAGGTTCAAAATGCTATCGAATATCTTAAAACTATTGGGGCTTTGGATGAAGATGAGAATCTGACTGTTCTAGGTATGAAAAATTCATCCTTGTTTGTATCTGTTGATGTGCCTTATTGCTTTAACAATACTAGATATATATTGTCCCTTAGTTGTAGTCCAAGATTGTACCTAATGCTATGTAACTCATTTAACAGGACGTCACTTGTCAATGCTTCCTGTGGAGCCCAAACTTGGGAAGATGCTCATATTAGGGGCTATATTTAACTGCTTGAATCCAATATTGACTGTTGTTGCTGGTTTAAGTGTCAGAGATCCATTTTTGATGCCATTTGACAAGAAGGAGGTATTATGTTAACATTTTACCCACATGTTATGAAGGTTCAATCCCAGATTCCTTGACAATATAGTGATTAATCATTAAACTATTTGTAATTCGACTTCTTATAACATATAGCCCCAAGGTAAACCTTTACTTGGAGTAATGTTCTAAAAATCATGAGATTGTTTCTCTTTTTAGAAAATTGACAAAAACTTTTAATATATTTACGTATGTATTGTTATAGGTAGCTTTAAAATAAAACCCTTCCTAAAAAAATGGAAAAGAAATGATAAGGTAGAGAACTAAATCATAATCAATTGATTTGAATGGCATGAGTTGGACAATTTTTAAGATCCAAACAATAACCATAAGTATGTTTCAAGAAATGGATTCTAAGATTCAAACAATGACCATAAGATTTTTTGAGAGAAGGGTTCACTCTTTATATCTGAATTGGAACCCTTTAGATTTGTGATTTGAGTCCTGATTTGTATCATAAATCATAAGATTTTGACAACACTTCTTACAGTGCATGAAAAAAATCCTTGTAGCTATGAAATGCATCTGAGATCTCTAAATTCATTTTGTAGGTTGCTGAGTCTGCAAAAGCCCAATTTTCTGCCCAGGATTACAGTGACCATCTTGCACTTGTCCGGGCCTATGATGGCTGGAAAGATGCTGAAAGAAAGGAGGGTGGATATGAATACTGCTGGCGGAATTTTCTTTCACTACAAACCATGAAAGCTATTGATTCCCTTCGGAAGCAGTTCATTTCTTTGCTCAAGGATACTGGTCTGGTTGATGACACCACAGCCACGTACAATACATGGAGCTATGATGAGCACCTCATCCGAGCAATCATCTGTGCTGGGCTTTATCCTGGAGTTTGTTCTGTTGTGGTGAGTAACCAATTATTTTCTTTTCTCTTTATGCATTCACCTTATCATTCTTCTTTTATTGTTACTGCTATCAATTATGCATGTGGTGAAAAACATGCCATCACTTTCTTGCCACTTCTTAATCATTTGTACTTGTGTTGGTAGAATGATATTTCACTTCCCCATATTTAAGTGGTAAACTTAAAAATTTCAAGTTAGCATTTAGAAATAATGGTAGAAGTCATACGATTAATATCAGGTAAAGCTTTAATGGCTAATAGTGAGTGTGGACAGACCTTGAGAGGCCAATCTTTCACTCATGGCCTCATTGATCATTATCCCTTGTTGAAATGGAAGCTTAGACTTTTCTTTCATTTTCTGTTATGTAAATGTAGCATTTTCTGTTCTTTCTTCATCCTCCCTTATTCCCCTTTCCTAGTAGACGATCTGGTAGAATTTGTTTTTCAGTCTTAAATGAGAAATTGCATGAATGGTTTTACAGAACAAGGAAAAGTCAGTAGCACTGAAGACAATGGAAGATGGACAAGTCCTTTTATATTCTGTAAGTTCCTTGGACAGTATGGTTTTTTTCTAGCTGCTTTGGGGTAATATATATAGAATTGCTAAGCTAAATACCTGTTGAATTCATCACTGGATTTTTCATGGTCTTTCATCTTATTTGATTCTTTCTATGTAATTTCTTTTACTTGCCCAGAATTCAGTCAATGCTCGGGAACTGAAAATTCCTTACCCATGGCTAGTTTTCAATGAGAAAGTGAAAGTGAACTCAGTCTTCCTACGGGATTCCACAGGCATATCTGATTCTGTGCTTCTCCTGTTTGGAGGAAACATTTCCAGAGGGGGCCTTGTAAGTTTTTCATGCACCTATCCTTGCTAAATATTTAGATTATATTTGTTCTGGTCCACTTGGGTGTTTCCTTGCACATTTTCTTTTATCCAATCTTCACCGATTTTTGCCTTGATCATTTCCTTTCTTTTGACAGGATGGACACCTGAAAATGATGGGAGGATATCTGGAGTTCTTCATGAAACCTGCCTTGGCAGAAACATATGTTAACCTAAAGAGGGAACTTGAGGAACTAATTCAAAGCAAAGTATGTGAAACCTTGCCTGACAGCTGGGTAGTAAACATGAATAGAATTTCAATAACCATTCATATTTGATTTCCTATTTGTTGAAGTGAAACCCAAATTTTTTTTGTTTTCCTTTGAGCTTTTTCTGTTTATGCCCTTTTCCCAAGATCGGCTTACCCCGCTTGCTTTCTTTGTGGAACTTGTTAAACTATCTTTGTATTTATCTTAATATTTGTTTGGTTCTTGATGGGCAGCTTTTGAATCCCAATATGGAAATGGATGCCTACAGTGAGCTCCTTTCAGCAGTAAGCTTGCTTGTATCAGAGGATCAATGCGAGGGTAAGTTTGTCTTCGGCCGCCAGATTCTAAAGCCATCAAAAACGTTGGCAGCAACACTGCTACCGGGCATGTTTGCACGAAATGGCAGTGCGCCTGGGAGTGATAATTCAAAGAATCAATTGCAAACATTGCTTATCAGAGCAGGACATGATGCACCCACATACAAGACAAAACAACTGAAGAACAACCAATTCCGAGCCCTTGTGGAATTCAATGGCATGCAGTTCATGGGGCAGCCTTGCAACAACAAAAAGCAAGCCGAAAAAGATGCTGCAGCCGAGGCTTTACAATGGTTGACTGGTGGGGCACAGTCAGCTTCTGAAGAGATAGATCATATGTCTATGCTTCTAAAGAAAAGCAAGAAGAAACATCAAAGAAGAACTTGATTATGAGGTAGGAAGTAGAGTTGAGAAGCAAAGGAGGGATCGGGCCATCAGAATTTAATTCTCATTATTTTTGATCATAGAAGTCCAAAATTTCTGGTTGAGTTCTAGATGATGATGATGATTGGACCATGGGTCAAAGCCATGTCTGACACGAAGATACAGTCAACCCGTGAAATTTTCATTGGAGACAGGGTGTTATCCAGTGGTAGAAGAACCTGGAGTCGCTATACAAACAAACAACAGCAAGCTTACATGCCGAGATTATAGAAAAAAAAAAGGTGAAATTTTAGCAATATCGACCTGGAGATCACATTGATCCGAACATTGTGCTGCATCAAGTAGTTAGTAATTGATTATTACTTGTGTATATTACTAATGTAGTTAGAATCTGAGCATTCAAAGACAAAATATATATATATATATATATATATATATACATGTAACGTTCTCCCCTTCCATGTGTTCCTCTTAAATTTTAGTGGAAGAATCTCTTTTGTTAGACACCCAGATCCAGTCCAGTCAAATGGATTGAATCTGGACCTGACCAACAGCACGTGTGCCATGCGTGTGGACCTGGTGTGAAGGACCTTCCATTCCAGCCCTAATTCAATCCATGTACCAGTTAATAAAACAATCTCTGTTGGACATCTCATAGTGGAAACTTGAGCAAGACGTGGATCTACTTTGATGGCAATGTCTTGCATCTCGGGTTCAGCTTATAAATTAGTACGTTGAGAAAGACACGGAGTCATGATGATATATTATCTCTTTGCCTGTTTACCTGCAAAATTTTCCAGTACAGGGGGCTAGATGTTTCTCTCTTATGAAGGTATTTGTTCGTGTACCAATAATAGAATGTACTTTCTGCAGAGTACAGACCAGGAGACATCCATCTAAAGGATGTTGGTAAACAAACAAATACCACGAGTCCACAAGTCGCACATCGATTGTCTCTTTTCAATGGGCTCTGCATCAAACTCCTAGACAGGACCAGGAGGCCTTGACGTGATGGGCTGGTGAAAACCCAGATCAATGGCAATGTGATTTCCACTGAACGTTGGATTCGTCTTACACAGGTTGCTTTTGGCATCTGACGATACAAGGGAAGGGATGAAGGGATTCTCCATTTCCCCATCCCCTCTTCTGTCCACTCTCCAGCATCTCTGCCATTGATTCAAGAATTAAAAAAAAAAAAAAGAACAAGAAAAAACAGAACCCCCATGTGGGTGTTGTCAACAGCCCTACAGAAGCTTCTAATTTATTGCTAAAATGCCAAATAATCACTGCTGGATGCACGCCCATGGAGGCATGGAGCCATGGACTTGATGGGATCATCCAAAAAGGTCACTGAAACCCTAATAAAAAGGCAGGAGATCTCATGGGAAATTGCTGATACGTTGTGCAATAGAATAAATATATATATATATATATATATATATATATATATTTCATTCATTGAATGTGGATCAGAACGAGATGCCGAGTTTGCCAGATTTTGACTCTTTTTTCATAAAAGTCTGTTGCTTTTTTGAATTGCTTTTCCCATGGTTGGTTGAGCAGGGAACGTTTCTTGTCGCCATTAACGTTACGTACAATTATTTAATTTACTTTTCAGAAAAAAAAAAAACATCATTAATTAATTAAGCTCCAATGAACCAGATAACATCTGCTAATTCTAGTATGAGATAACTGGATCTTCTGTCAGTCTCTGTCTCTTTCTTAAATCCTACTGATTCTTTTTATTTTCTTTATTCATTCTAGGCTCTCCTTGCCACGTCATCAGACCAAGAATAGAATGGTTGGACCGGACCGGACCTTCTCTCCACCTCCCTCATTTATTTTCCTTCCGTTTCGAGACCGCATTACGCGTCCAAGGCACGTGGTTTATGCCGTTTCCTTCCTTTTTCAACGCTCTCTCTTTCCCCGTTGGACTCAGACTGACCAGAAACCCCCTCCTACATTTCCCTAATTACCACCGATGCCCCTCGCCCCACTTTAATTCCCCTTCACGACCTCTTTTCCTCTTTCGGCGCGAACGCGAATGATTACTACGTAGCCACACTCGCTGTAATAAATGAGATCCCGATGGGCTGAATCGGTATTTTGTTCTGCTCTTATTCGTTCATATCCTTTGTGTGTTTTCTCCATGCTCTGACACCTGACAATGTGCCAAACAGACAGTGATGCAATGTTGTTCGTATGGGCTTTGCTAAGCTGCAACAACGCCGCACTCCAGCAGCGCTGCTCCCTCGTCACTCACCGCCCGTCGATGTACGCTTTCTACCAGTCCCAGATGCGGACAAGGCCCCACACGTCGAAAATGAATGATCCAACGGCTCTGGCTTCCCAGCAAACGTCAACCACATGAATGAAGTTAGTACCCCACGTCCCCACCCCCGCAATCTCAGAGGCAGAGAGAGAGAGAGAGAGAGAGAGCGCACGTAAGGCGAACAGAATCCGATTATCTGAAGAAGAGTGCGGCCGGTACAAACAAATAATCCCACGCAAGAAACAAATGCCGAAACTGCCGTCGGATGGGAATCCCTGTACTGGGCATCTGACGCTTACCGCACACCTGATGGTGTGGAAATGGTACTGTCGCTTTCCTAGATTCGTATATGGGAAGGCAATGTACTATAACATATTCTTTTGAGTCTTGCTTGCTCCAAAACAACCGGAGACGACAAAAGACGGGAAGGGAAGGGTCCAAAGGGAAGTGTCGTGGAGTCCTTGTCAGGGGTACTTAAGTAAATTGACTGAGGAATAAGGGTGCACGTTTTTGGAATATACATATACAAATTATAAATGTATATCCGATTTTAATTGACTGAAGAATGGTAGTACTTGCCTACCTGGGGGAGAGCTTTCAAGTTTCAACTTTGAAGAATGAATCAATGAAGAGTAGATCAGAAGACTTGATGATGGATGATCTGGCTCTGGCTGGGGTCTCTCCTCTCAACTCTCAAGTCTCCCCAATAATAAATAGGAAATTCCTCATTCATCATATATATCATAAAGCTAAAAAGCTCAGCAACCCAACACTACAGCCATGTCGACTGTCGTCAGTGTGAAAGAAAAATTTTTAATTGCCCCACCGCTTTTAATTCTCATTTCCTTCCTACATACAACTTTCCCCCCCCCCTCTCTCTCTCTCTCTCTCTTTTGTCTCCTTTCATTTACTAGCTGGATCATTCATTCCATGTGGCCTACTTTTTGTTTGTAGTTTTACTAAATTGCCCTCCATTTTCACTTTTAATTTTACCTTTTTTTTTCATTTTTTTATTTAATAAAACATATTGTACACTTTGGAAGTATTAGTTTTCCTCTTTTCTTTTCCACTGTGGAACAGTAAAAAGATGTTGGTGTTTTTTGTTATGTGCGTGGAAAGTAAGTAGATATCAATAGTAAGTTTTTACGGAAAAGGGTCATATAATTGGGTTAAGTAGAGAGCTTTTTTTCTGCACTGACTCCTATTTTTACCACATGAAAGGTTGATGTGATGGGTTTGAACTGTGCACTAGGTAAAAGATCCTTTTGGATGAGTTGGGATTTACTGTGTAACGTAATACTTGTCATACTAGATGAAAAATGGAAAATGGAAAATGAAAAAAAAAAAAAGATGGAAAATGGAAGAGATCCTAAAAAAATTGGAAGTGCACAATAAGTGCAGCACATCTAAACTCCACCAAGATTTGCCACCTGTTCAATCTATAAGTTCCTCATTCAGTTGTCATCATCACTATTATTCAAGACTTATTGTCTTTGGCCATTCCATTCTGTTTAATGCTATATCTGATTATTCAAAAAAGTACGGACAGGCCAGTGCATATTTCTGAATTCCACAGTAGATCTATAAATATTTAAAATGTCAAAATCCTTTATTTTATACATCAATGTCTGCCCATGAATTGGTATTAATTCCAAACTGGCATCTATTCCAACTGTATTTTGAACTTAATCCCTTTTGATCTACCCCTAACCCTTATAGGCCATTTTCACTTGCAACTAATAATTTTTTATTATGACTACTATTGATGGTCTTTTATGCACTTGATCAAATCAGTAAACCTGTTCACACAACTTTGCCATGCCAATGACTTGGTAAATAAACTAAAGAATGAATATTGAATAGCCATTAAAATTTGTTTTTCCCTAGCATTATTCAGCCATATCTATCATGAACTAGCTGGTTCATGCATGGGTTGACCTTTGATGGTCCTGCATCCTTTTGCTTTTAATTTTCTAGCAGCAATAAAGAAGAATTTAATTAATAACCACAAAAGGCAAGATATTACAATAGTAAACAGCTTCATGGATTCATAGACATTAAATATTTTTATTTCCCTACTTTCATTGATTCAAACAAAAATAGCATAGCATGTCCTTACTTTCTTTAAAATACCAAAAAGTGAGTCCTTTGGAAAGGACTAAAGGACTAGGGATTAGTGGAATTTAAGTCCCCCAGCACACGCTTGCATTCCTTTTTCCTCCTTTCTTTTGTCCTTCCTTTTTGTACCTGAACATGCTAGTAGTAGTTGGTAGGTTAGTAGCTAATGATGGATTTAAACAAAGTAATAATGTGGTATCAACTTTGTGACATAGCATATTTTGAGCCCACTTCTCTCTCTCTTTTTTTTTTCTATTTCTTTAAGCTATCAAAGAGTAGGTTAATCATTTAATTTCAGAGACTCGCTGTTATTAACATGTTCTTCTCAATCTCTTAGATGTGAATTGGAATGGAATTTCATTATTATTATGGTAAATGATAACTTTTATTATTTAATTGTCTAAACCCTTGAGCTGACAACCTGATGTACTTGTATCCTTCAAAATAGAATTAGTTAGTAATATCTTATCATAACTTTGTATTACTTAATTAAGTGAAGCCACCTTCCTGCATTTATAGGGCTGGTTTGTCTATGAGGCTGAACAGGTTTTCCTTATTCCATATATTGCCCTTGTCTACAATAAACATTTGAGGACAAGATAAAGATGAAGTCAACATTTTATTCCTATAAAAGTATTTATAGGATATAATAAATTAGACCTACCCATGTCTCTTCTCCATTGTAGTTCCCACCCCCTAACCCAGCTATAACTTCATGTACCCCCTTCTGCTATCTATAATCTATTAACCAGCAAAAAAGACAAGACAAGAGATTTCCAATATGACAGAGTAGGTCTAACCACTAAAGGGAGGTCAGGGAGAGGGATGGAAATTTCAGCAAGAAAAAGATGGTTTTGGGGCTAAAGAGAAAAACTTGGATGGAATTTAGGGACTAGAAGCAGATTAGGAGAGAGATTGACTCAAATGACTCATTAGAGAAAAATAAATAAATATATCTTCATGAAATTTTATGGATTTTGAAAAAAAAAACCCTTGGTCTATGTTGCTTAACACATAGAACCCAGTTGATTCATCATCTATCAAAACAAAAATAAAAACAAAAACAAAAGTTGATTCCTAAAACATGAATATTACTTGATGCTTTGAGTTGTTGTCATAAAAGATTACTTAGGAGGGGACTATTATAAATATTCTTAAGTGAAGAAGAGACATAAGATAAAGGTGTATGAAGCAATTGGTCCCATGCTCAAGTGCCCTAGTTTGGGCTATGGCAATTGGCAAATGCACTTGTTTTTGTTCATGAAATCACTGTCCTTTGCTGTTTGTACATGCAAATGTGAGTTGTCATGTTTCCAAAAGATTTATTGTGTGGTCGGTTTATTGCCCCTTTCCACCTAGACCCAACGTACAAGCAACCCCTTCTATGGCCCATATGACAATCGAATGTTCTTCCTAACTACCCATTTTTGAATTGCCCAGCCTGTATCTATTGGAATATGTGATTGTTTCAGCTTGGACAACCTACATCTTTGATGCATACACCATTGTATCCCATTGGACAAGAAGAAGAAGAACAGCTTTAGATAACTTTAAATTGAGATTTAAGAGCGAAAAGGGCCGGCTGGAAATGCATATTCTGGCCAGAATTTTATGGTTAAACACCACCTTAATCAGCACCAAGTTAGGGAAATCATATTTCCGCCCCACAGTACATTTCCGTCATGTATTGAGAGCATCTTCTAATGATGATATCATCGGTTCTAAACTACCATCATCGAGAGATGCTTCTAATACACAGCAGGGATGTGGTCTCCAAGTTAGATGAAGAACCTACACCAGTTTTTGTCGATTTAATTTGAAGTAATTGAACCCTAATGATTCACAATTATTTGAAGATGCCAGCCATTCTTTTTAATTATAACTCTATAAAGGAAGGAGGAAGGAAAGAAAGAAGAACGGAAGGAAACAAAAAAAAAATCATAGTTTTACTCATTTGCTGCCACACATAATTAGTAGTTAAGACAGCTTTGAGGAAGAATGAATGATTACATAGTGCTTGCTCAATCAAGACAGCTTTGAGGAATGAATACTCTGTACCTCTTCACCTCTATTTTTCTAATTGAAAAATCTCCAATGATGATCTCTTGATCAATGTTAGGTATGATTAGAAAAATCAACCACTTATTTAACCAGCTCAATCAGTCATCATATGTGATTTTTTCTTCTCTTACTCATATGCGGGTAACCAAATGAATCGGTGACCCCTGTCCAACCGTTATAATGACAGTTACAGTGGCAGTTACTTTTACGATAAGACATTCTCATTGATGACTCTCTTTTCCAACGTCAGATTAGAATCCAAGTGACATTACCCGTGAGGGGCACTCTAGTCAATGGAATTACCACACTAGTGAGTAGTGTGACTGGTCCAAGCCAAACTTCATGAAAGGGCAATCTGGTCATTTGAAGAGGATAGAAAACCTTATCGAAAGTGAAACTGACCTGTTGGTGAAATTAGACATGATTTGGGAGGGTAATTTGGGCATATAAGAGGAGAAAGAAATTTTTTCAGGCGTATCTAAACATCTTCAAACCTCCCTTTGACCGTCGTACGCTCTCTCACTCTAAAACTTTTCTCTTGCCTTTTTAGCCGCTGTTGCAGAGACCTTCTTCTTCTCTCTCTCACACTCTCTCTCTCTATCTGGCGCGCGCTGGGAGAGAGAGAGAAAATCAGCTCTACTCAACTCAACCCTCTCAGATTTCGATAAGTCATTCTTATCATTTACTAATCTCACTCCGCAGAAAATCCTTATTGTCAACGGTCGTGATCTTCTCGTCTTCTCATCATACGGCTAGGGCTACCTTGTCGGCGTCTCCTACGTAAGTCTCACCACCGCAAGCAAGAAAAAATGAAGAAAACGAAGAAAAAACCTACCTTTTTCAAGCTATCTATCTTTTTTTGCTTCTTATCGTTTCTCTGTTTAAATAATTATCTCTCTCTCTCTCGCTGGTTCTTGCCATTTCTTCTTCTTCTTGTTTGCTTTTTTTTAGTATCCTCTGCTGTTCACTGTACGTAATTTTTATTATCTTTTAAGTTTATTTGCATCATCTGTTATTTATTTTGTATATGTTTTCGTAGTAGTAGTTCTGTTAACTTGTTTTCAAATTCATGGAGGCGTGAGCACTCCTTGTTTGATCCTTGTCCACTTACTGGATAATTTAGGAACGTCTCGGGGTCGGGTTCTATAACAATTTGATTTCTGGGTATGTTTTGGATGACATGCATTGAATTTTATTGAGCTTGAAACAGATTTGTTTTGAATGGCTAGGGAGCTTTGGTTTTTGTTTTTTATATTTTTAGTTTATTATGAATTGAATTCATGTTTGAATAACCACATGTTAGTTAATTTGGTTTTCTTTAAGATTGTAAACCGTGTTCTCATTACTTAATTTCCGTGTAATTTGAGTGTGGATGCTTTTCTGTTATGCTTTGCACAAGTTTCAGTGTTATGGGATTATCTTATTATTTGCAATTCATGCAATAATTAGTTTTGTGGGTTTTGAATTTTCCCAGAAGTAATATACAGGTTCTCTTTGTTTCCTTCTTTTGATCAACCAAGAAGCCACCCCGCCATCTTCAAGCTTTGGATGGAGGGGACTAGGTGAAAGACTCCGAGAATACCATCAAGGCAATCAAGAAGCACAAACAAATAAAATACTAGTCCAGGCCGCTTGCTCCCCAATACAGCTGAGCCCTTCCCGCTCCCTCTCTTATTAGGCCATCTGCTGAGTAGCTTTGAGTACATGTGAATCCATCTGAAAGCGCTTTCAACCCATAGTCCAGTGATCTTGCTTTCCTTATTAGGTGCCTAAATGGCCATGGCCCTCAAATATTGAGAGTAACCACACCAATAGGTGCGAGTCTCCTCCATGATACTCTGATCAAACCCAAGTCAAAAAAATTAGGCAAAGGCCCTTCAACAATGAGAGAGCATATATGCTCTTAAAGAACCTCAATCTTCAATTGACCCAGAGTAAACTAAAAGAATTTTACTTGCCTTTTCTGTAACAGCATATTATTAGTATTGTTTCTTTTTCATTTTTGCATACATGTGACAACATTAGCGGTTCCATACAGGAATTGAATACAATTCATGAATCTTCTCATGCATAGCTACCTATGCACTGTGAGCAAGATGCTGTTTTTGCAAGTTTCTATGCTTAGTTACACAATTTTTTGAATTGTAAATAAGCTTGCGTTCTATAAAGATGATATTTGTCATTTAGTTGTGTAGGGGATGTTAATGAGATGATAAAGCCAGATCAGTGTTGCTCCTGGTTTGGTACAAGTACATATTAACAACTCAAAAAAAAGATGTTGTTTCAAGGCAATGTAACTTAATAGGTGTCTAAGATTGGTGGTTGAATATAATAATCCTCTTATGACAATTGTCATTGTTGGTCAGTTCAAATTCTTTTGTATTAATTCAATTGTGATTTTATAATTGAAAGGGGAGTGATAGCTGTTGCATATTTTACATCTATGAACAATTAAGTTTGTTAGTTTAGTTGCTTATTCATCTTTCTTTTGGATTCCTAATTCCTTAGCTTGGACAAAAGATGGTTATGCCAGGGTGGTAGTTGGCGTAAAACTTTTGTCATGTCCATTTTGTGAGCCATGATTATGGTGCTCATGTTCAAAGGATGAGCTCTTCCTTGTCTAGATTGGTGTTGCAATTTGTATTATACATTACCAGGTGGGATTTCTTTGAGTTGCACATGGATAATTGTCTTCATTTTAAATATCTGACTCTTGACATGAGGATAGCCTAGAGTTGGAGAATACTGCCCTTTTCCCATTTTGAATGGACAATGGTGTCAGTATAATCCTGACAAATCTGGGATTTACCATCTTATTGTCATCCTTGTTCCCCTTGTTTGATCCACTTAGGATTGGCCTTCTCCATCTTGTTTCGGGGGGGGGGGGGGTGAGTGAATTTAAATTTCATACTTACATCTGGTGTGGCACTGAGCATTATATGGTGGATTTGCATGGATTTACATGACTTTCTTGCTTTTCAAAGAGCTCTTGTGTAGCACTTCTTGTTGTTCATAAAAGAGGAGCTCTTGAATCTTGAAGAGAGATTTGGTATTGTTGTTAGAATCTATTGGTTTATCTGATTTACATGGGATTAGTTATTTAGGATGATTCCCAATGTAGTCAGTTGGTCTGGGACTTGACAAAATGTTTACCTCCTATTCTTGATGTATTTGGGCATTTCTTTGCAAATAGTGGTTGAATGATAGAAACTTTTGTATTCTGGATGTGATTCCTTTTTCTTTTCTTTCTTCTTTTTTCTTGATAGGTAACTATAATTCATTATCTATCAGAGAGAAGATAAGGATATATGAACCATTATAAAAAAGATAAAGATACAAGAAAAGAAAAGAGATGGAACAGAAATGGCAAAAGCAGGAGAAAACCACCACAAAGAACCAAAATCCTTCCCGTGTTATATATGATAAATAAAGCAAAATTTTTATTAAAAAAATCCAAGATATTACAAATAAGAGGGATGGTAAGTTTTTTTTTTTTTTTTGATAATTAAGGGATGATAACATATCACCCCCAACAAAAACAAAACAATCATAAATAACCTTATCCTTGGCCTGAACTCCACTCAACAAACTCTCCACCTAGCTGAACAGAGACACTGTGTGTATAATATGAAGGCACCAAGAATGTTGACCTCCCTACCAGCCCCATACCACCAAGCCCCATAGCATCTTAATCAATCCACCACCTATCCCAATTCCTTCCACCGACCCGGCACCTCACCATCTCTCTCCTAGCTATGAAACAACCACTTCTTTAACATCCCAAACCCCAAATCTAATCTTGTACGCCACCCTGCCACACCGTCATGTAATTTAAAATGTCTCATCAACTACAAATCTATCCCTTTTTTCTATCTCTGTGAACACTTTTATAGAAAACTCTTCACCACCCAAGAACAAACCCTGTTTCTTACCAACTTGAACTTCTATTTCAATCACTTGTCCAAACCTGTCTTCTCGTCTTCCTTTCTAACTTGGTTTAATACAATATCATCATTATCCTTTTGAATCTGCAGACTTTCCTGGATGTCTTCCTCTAAATCCTCTTCAACTACATTCTCCAGTCTCCACATCTTCTTCCAAACCTTGTGTTTGACCTGAATCTTCTTTTCTGATATGATCTCCATTTCACATCCAAGAAAATTATTTGCATGTACTGATCCATCTACCAATGATGACTCAATCATCATTTCCTTCTTCAACCCAGACTAACCCTCTTTTAATAGACATGTTGAACTGGTGCCTGACACCAACAAGCTACCCTGGCATAAACCATTTATAACACTTCATTTTTCATTAATGAATTGCTTCTGTTATTGATAAAAAAACCATTTATAACACTTAATCTTTCATAAATTCATCCACGGCCACCTCTTGATCTATACTCATCCACTCTGAGATCAAATTGACTGTCTGAGATTAAAAATATATATTCACTATTTCCTGTGCATGCCCATATTCCATTTTATCCTTTTGTTTGGATCTGTTGTTCTAACATGATTACACTCAATCCTCTGTAATTTTTTGCTTGAAACCAATGCAATGGTTCTTCAAATTTTGGAAATAATGATCTGTTATCTTCTGGATGTTCCATAAAATGTGATAGGTTGGGCAAATGTGAAGGGTCTTATAAACCTATTGGTTTATAAATTCTATTAACTTTATGTATTATTTGGATATCAACCATATCTTTTTCTATTTTGGCACCATTCAAGATTCATGTTTCTGTATGAAAATGTCAAATATGGATCTATTTCTGTTCACAAGTCATTGCTGACAACTATCTATCTCACATATCAAATTATGTCCCATTGTTTTGCAGGGAGCAAATTGTACCTTTTTGATACTTCTTATGGAGCCTAATGGTCATAGGAAAACAGGAAGAAAGGAACCTACCATTCAAGGAAATAATGACATGACTTTGACAAATGATGCCAATGATCTTGACCCTTGGACTGCATGGGCATACAAGCCTCGTACTATTTCTTTGTTACTTGTTGGTGCATGCCTTCTTATGTGAGTTTTATACTCAAGAAGAAATTCTCATCTTGAACTTGTTTTGCCAAATTATTGTTTTGCCCTTTAGTAGTATAAACAGTTATGTCCTTATCTTACCTCTTTTCCTACATATGGAAGTTGATTATAGCTCAAAAAGAATTCTCAGATGCTCTTGGGCATGCCTTTTAATCTTCATTACTGTAAATTGTTTCGTTAACTTAGAAAATGTCTGCTCTTAATCTTTTTTGCAAATTAGCATTCTGGCCGGAAATGTATCTATCCTTCTTTTAGTTAGTATTATTCTATTTGTTAAAGTATACAAAACCTGTTGGAATCATTGATTTTCAATAAGTATCTCATAGGACTTTAACAATGATGCTTCAAAGTACAATGCCTAGGCATCAACCATAATATGATATGAATTTTCATGTTTTAACTTTCACATGACCTCTACCACAGATAATCATATCTCTGTGGTTGCTAAACATGCTATTGCCATGCTTCAGTGACTGCATTAATATGCTTGACATTTTGATTTTTCATTACAAGTTTCTTGGAAATTGATGCTGAGATTTAGGAGCCATCAAATTTGCTTTAGGAAAATTCAGGTCAATTTGGAACTGTTCATTAACAGGATTTGAATCTGAACTAGATGTGGAACAACCCCTAATATACCTTCTTTTCTGATTGAAACATGGCAACTTTTCTATTTTTTATTGGTTGTTTCTAGTCTATTTTTTTGTTCACATATTTTGTTTGTTTCTTTAGGATGCTTGCATTCTGCTGACTTTGTAGTGTTTTTAGATATTTCTTCTTTAAAGTCAAGTCAGATTTTTTTTCCCCAATTATTTCTTATCCAGTAATGAAGGGATTACTAAATAGAACATTTTACAACTATGGCTCCTAATGATTCCTGACTGGTTAAAAGGACTTTATGAATGGCTTTTTCACTGATATGCGAACTTAAAATGCCAATTGCAAGTATGATCTTCGTAGTGTTGTAGCTTGTCTTGAAGTACTATTTGAGTTAATGGACGCTTACCTCTCTACGTATGCTTATCAGTTGGGCAAGTGGAGCTCTTGATCCAGAAAATAGTTCATCTGATGATCTTGTTACATCTGTGAAGAGGTATATTGTTATTTGCTCCATTCTTTGATTTAGTACTATGGTTCCATTGCAGGATTTCTTCTTGGTTTCTTTATAAAATTGAAAGACTAAAATGCTCACCCTTACCCATTACTTTTTCACAGGGGCGTATGGGCAATGATTGCAGTCTTTCTTGCTTATTGCTTACTTCAAGCACCTTCAACGTAAGTTCTGAAATGCAATTACATGGAACTGCTTAACTATATGATGTATAAGACAACCAATATCCAGAAATATATCTTGGGATTTTTCCCTAGTTGGTTTCAAATTTTTGTTTTGTTAGGTGTGTTAAAAAAAGAAAAATTCAATATGGCTAGTACACTGAAAAATTGGAAACATAGGTGTTTTTTTTTTGTGGGGGAGGGGGGGTGAGGGATGACAATGATACAGCTAGGACCCAATTTCCAAAACTTGTTGGTTGTTGAACATTTTCACTTAAAATATGTATCAGTTTGCAATGAAAGATATATGTTGTTTTTCCCCAGACCGGGAAAGTAGGCTACTAAAAATGTTTTACTCAAAAAGGAAATTATTGTGGCATCTACATATATGGACATGCTTAGGGGCTTGGGCTTTATATGAATGATACCTTGTTGATGTTTCTTGCAACTTTGTGGCTTGGATAAGTACTGATAGTTAAATATTCTCTGCTTTTTTTCTTGTTTTCCCCCACAGGGTACTCATTAGGCCACATCCAGCAATTTGGCGCCTTGTTCATGGAATGACAGTTGTGTACCTTGTTTCTCTTACTTTTTTGCTCTTTCAGGTTAGTTTTCTTTCACTTTGTTGTGTAAAATTTGTATTAAGCATGCTTATGCACAATTAGATAGTCACATTCACAAGGTAACCTGATATTGTCCAGTAGGATTGGTAAAATACCACCTGGATTTTAGCCATTGTTAATCAGAACAGTGTTGTCAGATTGGGTTCAACTGAGCTTATGGTTGAATTGATAGACGTCCTGTGCTGCAACTGAAAGATTTGGATGGTTGGGTGAAGGAACAAGTACAACAGTCCTATTGCTGACTCACAAGGAAAAACATAAATCATCACCTTTTTACAAAATTTCTTCTGGGCCTTGTTTCCCCATGACCAAAATTTTCCTTGTTACCCAAGCCCTTCCAAGAGCATCAGAAATGTTATTTTTCTGATCAAGGTCTCCATCTTATTGAGAAGCTGATCAAGGCCTCCATCTCGTGTGGAAGCCTGCCTGTGACTACTTGGCAGTCTCCTTATGAGCAGGCAACTTTTTAATCCTTGCAAAAGGGAAAGAAGTGGTCAACCGTTGAGAAAATTTCTGTCTCTTGGTTTTGAGTAGCTGAAAATGATATCTCCAAATGGGGTCTAGGTTACCCGGATAACATCCCTCAAAATTTAACTTCATGCAGCCTGATTCAGGTGACACCCAGGAGACCCTCATCTGTAGATTCTGTACTCTTCTAGGAGCAAAACCAGCAATTTTATCCCATCCTCTCAAGATGGAATCCATTAGGACACTCTTAATTCCTCCCTTGTAATTATCCAATGTGCAACTCTTACAGTGATGATATCTGTAAGAGTGCTTACTTCTTAGTCCTTGCATTCATTCATTATTGTCCTTTTAACATTTTACTTCCACTGATGCCATTATATTCAGGAGCAATATTTTTTTTTGTTGTGGTTATTTTTTCTTGTGGTCTTTGTATTCGTCTTGGTTTTATTGATTGGGTGGACAACTTCTTTCAGAAGCGTGATGATGCTCGGCAATTCATGAAATTTCTACATCCTGACCTTGGTGTTGGTATAGCATTTTGAGTTCTGTGTAGTTTTATTCTCTTAATTCTGCATAAATTTCTTGAAACAACTCATTGGTCACAGTATCAAGACTAATGCAATTTTTTTTTTTTATTTATCTTTACCACTCTGTAGAACTTCCTGAAAGATCATATGGAGCAGATTGTCGTATTTACATCCCAGAGAACCCCAAGAGCAGGTTTAAGAATGTTTATGTATGATGGCTTCATTCACAATCCGTCTACTTTAATTTCCTTCAATTTTGAATTTTGTGACATGCATCACTAGTGCATTGGGATGCCATAGTCTACTGATTTGGCTTTTAGTTCTTTCTAGGAGACATTGTTTGATGAATTTGTTCTAGCTCATATCTTTGGATGGTGGGGCAAAGCTATAATGATTCGTAATCAGCCTCTTCTGTGGGTTTTGTCCATTGGGTTTGAGTTGATGGAGGTTTGTTCTTTGAACAGATTATTTAGTCTTCATTATTCATAAGATTGTCTTTTTTTCCCAGTGCTAAAGTGTTTTTCTTTGTCTGCACATGTATGCATTTGTGTGTATGCATGCATGCATATAAGCAAGCATGCATGTTCCTGTGCTTATTGTATTTTTGCTTGCTTGTTTGCATACATGCACATAGTAGATTGGAAGGAAGTGCAAATATGTTTGTGATCTTATGCATGTTTATGCATTGGAAAGCTGAGTAACAAGGTTTTTGTTCTTGTATTTAATATTTGCAGCTTACATTCCGCCACATGTTACCAAACTTCAATGAGTGCTGGTGGGACAGCATTATTTTGGATATTTTAATCTGCAATTGGTTTGGTGAGGCTCTTGAAACTGTTCTCCTGGTTTCTGCCATTTTCAATCATACCATGTCATTATTAGTGTCATGCAGTGTTAATCTGACTGCTTTCTTTGAGAGGGGTTTGGATGGTCAAAACCCATAATTAGGTCAACAGTGAAAAACTGCATACCATTTTCATTACTTCTATAAAATAGTCAGTTATGTGGTTCTTTTTCAGTATGTGGGAAAAAGACTGCCTTTAGTCAATAAAAAAGGAACTCACTTAACTTGCTAGGTCTTCAAATAAAGGTGGTTCTGTTCATGCATCAGATAATCTGGTAGGTTGTCTTTTTTTAATAGGTATAGAATAAACGTTGTTGAGATGAATAGAAAGATTTAGTAGGAAAACTCATTGTATTTCTGAGAAGTTAGAACTTATGGCAATCCCAATAGGTCACAGCATGAGAGATCAATTGAGATGGTCTTATCATGTGCATTTATGACCAATTACAGTGAGAAGTGATGATTTGAGAGGTTGAAAGATATCAAAGAATTGAAAGCAGCTCCACACCTCCACCCATGAAAACAAAAAAGAAAAGATGGGGCAAATGGTCTAGGTGGGAGAGGTCAAAAGAAAAGTGAGATTAGCTTGGAAAAGGGGCATAAGGGGAGTCAAAGATGAATGAGTAAGAAGGTAAGGGGCACTGACTCTTTTTTAAGCTGTTGCTTTTCGCACTATGGGGGTGGTTTTGGTGTTTGGGTTTATAGTGAAAGGTAGGCCGTTGGGTATGTTTTGGTGAGTTGGAGCCTTGAGTCTTGTCATTTGGGTGCTTTTTCTGGGACCTTTTATATGTACTATTTGTCTATGTTTTGGGAAAGCAGGGTCCTCATTTTGTGCTATTGCTTATTTCTGCACTTTGGATCTTTGGATTTGTATACATCTTGTATACATTACTTTCTGTTAATAATTTTTCATTTTAATATAAAAAAAGAAACTATAGAGAACTCCATGTCATAATCTCTCCTATTTTGTCAACTTATCTTTTTTTTTTTTTTGAGCGGGGGGAGGGCAGGGCGGAGGGAGGGGGTTGAAGTGATAGCCAAGGTTCAAAATATCAAAACAAATCAGAGCGTATCGACTAATATGTAACGGTTTTCAGGGTGACAGATATGCTAGATTAGCATATTTACATGATTTCAACAATTTGAAACTGTAATCAGTGATGCGACAGATCCCGTCAAATAACCAAACAAGAAAATAAAAAAAAAAGGAGGTTTGCACAAGATAAACTCTTGATAATTGATACTTTGAACCTTGGTGATAGCAACAGAGAATTTACAGTTGAAAGGCTGATGATTCATAAAAAAAAAAAAACAGTTGAAAGGCTAACTAATATATTTTTTCTCTGAACTTTTTCCTACATCTATGTGTATGTGCACACTCAAGCACACCTTGTATGTGCATATCAAGCAATTCCACAAGTTTTTAGTCTTAGCCCTGGTTATCCAGGGTCTTGGAAGGGATGGACCGGATAAAGACCAAACCTCTGACATTTGATTAGTGCAGAGATTTATTATAATCAGAAATAAAGTACAAAGAGTAACTGTCCTGAAAAGGATAGAAAGTCCTTTTAGTTACTGATAAACAATAGGATGATATGACCCAGAAATTTGACACGCAGTTTACAGACTCACAACAGAATCCAAACCTCTAGTACATCAACAGGGAACTGATGTTCATTTAGAAGAAAAGAAGATCACCTACAGTAGGTCGGTTCTTCGAGAGACCGCCGACTCTCCCAAGCACTCTCAGAATTCTGTACTCATCAAAAGTCTGCCTCCTCCATCCCCCAAAGTCCCTTCTTATACACATCTTACAGCATAACTGCCTTCCATAATAAATGCCCAGCTGGCCAACTTATAAATGCCCCACACTCTTCTTATTCCCAACT